AGGATATGGCGGACAGACTTAAATCTGCCCAATCACTAATGCGCGCAAAATGGTATCCCGCAGCATGAATGCCGACGCTCGCTCACACATGGCCCCCTCCAGCTCCACGGCGCGGCCCGCGTCCACGCACTGACCGCAGGCGCGGAACCTAGCCAGAGGATCCACGCAGCCCCCGCTGCTCGATACCGAGCGGGGCGGGCGACGGCGCCCCGCGCCCGCTGCCGCCCACCGCTGTTCAAGGCGGTCACATAATAACAGGTCGCTGAAAGGATTGGGCACGTCCTGAACAGCAGGTGCCCCCGCATCTTGGAGCGAGGGGGCCGCTGCCTGCAGGTACCCCCGCATCTTGCGTGAGCGGCACGGGCGCTGGCACTGCTGGAGAAGGAGTCGCCACTGGCTGCATGGGCACGGCATTGCTTGCGGCCGAGCTGTCGGCGGGGATCATTGCCGGGACCTCGCCCAGCCCCCCGCGCAAATCCGAGATCTCCTGGGCATGCTGGATTGCCGCGGCTGCCGAGGTGCCTGGCGCGTCGACGCGACCTGCGCACGGGCGCTCCGCCGCGACGATGCCCAGTCCACGGCATGTGGCGCACGGGCCTCGACAGCGGCCTCAGCCCTGCCATTCGCAACGCGCGCGCGCGTTGCGGCCCCAGCACTCGACCGGCACTGGCATCCGCACTGCAGCCTCCGCATCTTCTCGCACGGTACTACGGCCTCCAAGCGCACTGCAAGGACGAGATATCTGAGACGGCGAGTGTGTCCGCGCTAGGGCGCGCGCGCCCCTGAGGCTGCAGCGTCGCGTCGGATGTCCCGCACGGCGACGGCGGGGGCCCCGCGCGAGTAGCTGATCTCGGAGCGGACCTCACTGCAGGCGCGCGGCCGCGCTGGGCGATGTTGATCATGTGCTAGATGCGCCTCGCTGCGCGCTCACGCGCCGCCCCCCCTGCATCCTCCGCCGCCTAGACGTTAGAGTGCATCATATGATGGAAGTGGCGCGGGCGCGGAGGTGGGTGTCCGAGAGGCGCAGTTACCTCAAGGGTAATTGTCTGCACCTCTGGGCATGGATCCCCCGGCGGAAGACGATGCATTATCCGGCGCGCGCACCGCCCGATGACGATAAGATTCGCGCGCCGTGTCCCGCGTCACCTGGTTCTGGGTCAACTGGCCAATCATGGGCGCGGCGTGCCAGCGACCTCCGCGCGGAGCTCGGGCGGCGCGGCTGGCGCTTGCAGCGGCGGGCATTTAGGGCGCGCTGCGAAAGCAGGGATGAATGGCAACCGATCAAGATGATCTGCGGAGGGGTTCGCATCCAGAACCAATTCCCGTGGCGGCGCCCAATTCGCTCTGTCGTTCACGCCCGCACCCTGCAGGCGCATCTCAGACACTGCTGCCGGTTATTCTTGCCGCGTGAACCTCTGCTGCTCAAGGGCCGACTGCCTGTCCAGGCTGTTGACAGATGGTGCCGTGATAGGAGAGCCCGCGAGACTGGCTGATTGGTCGCGGCGCGCCCAAGGGCGTCGTAACCCTGTGCGCGGCAGCCTAATCGAGCTGCTATCGCAGCATGGCCATCCGCTGCGCACGGCCAGCACGGCTCGCCCCCGGCGTTTGCATCTGCTGGCCACCGGGCGCGTCCGCCCCCGAGGCAACACTCGCTTCCGACCGAGCCTAGCCGAAATGGCATATGTTCGAACCTTGTGGAGCCAGTCTGCGACTGGGGCCTCGGTGGACCACGGCTTGCGGGCGGCCCTACTGGCATGATTCCTGGGGTTGTCGCCCATTCGGTCATACCGCGAAAATATTTCGGACAACGTGGAGATGTCTTGCGATGGCTGAGAAGGCAGCACCATCCACGACGCCGACGATCTGGCGCCCGTGGGCAAAACAGCCAGTGGCCCAGCATTCGCAGGGGCATTGATTCCAGCAGGTGCCCCCTTTTCCATCACGAGCTACGCGTACGATGCACTGCCTAGGAGCCCCTCGCTCGTCCGAGCACCGATGGGAAAGGCGGTCTGGAGAACGGACCAGCCGCGGGGAAGGTCGGCCTCCTTCAAGGGCATTGGGCCCTCAGCGCGTGGGCCAAAGCTCTTGGGGTTCTGCCGGGCTCCTCCCAGATGCTTGCCCTTCTGACCGACCAACTGAATAACGCAGCGGGTTGGCACTACTGCACCCCAGCCCTCGGTCACGATGATATCATTTTCCGAGAGCGCTTGGGGCTCCTGCGGGTTGTGCCGGAGGGCCTGCGGGCAGCGTGCTACGGCCTCTGTGGGTTTACTCTGGGTCTCTGTGGGCTGTGTCGGGGGGCCTCAATGGGCAGCGCGCCGGGGCCGTTGTGGGCGCGCTTGGCGCCTCTGTGGGCTTGGGCCTCCGCGGGCGCGATTGGGGCCTCTGCGGGCTGTGTCCTCTGGGGTCGCGTTGGGACAGGCACGATAAGCCACTGCGCAATATGCTCCCGAGGGAAGCCCACTTAGTGCCATGGGTGAAAAACTTTGGGTCTCCATCCAACCCAACAGATTTCACTTGTGTGCACAACGATTCGGGGCTCAGGATGCCGGGCCTCGCGCGGCCGCTCGCGGCACGAATCCTAAGGACACATTCCCCTGTGATGGCCAACGAACATTTCAATTGGGAACGGCCCTTTTTGGCAATCGACCAGTCAGTAGCAAGCACGCCTGATCATAATCTGGTTGGGGGCGCATCCACTTCATGACTTCCTCTGCACCCCTGCCCCACGCAAGGTTGTCAACGGTGTCGTTGGTGTATGGCCCTCGCGTTGTAGCAGGAAACACACATCTTGTCAAAGTCTGGGTCGTCGGCGCCATTCTCGTACGGCCGATGCCTGCACGCGATAGACCACCACTCCGAGATCTGGGTCATTTCGCGGTAACTTGGCTATGGCCAGAACATGAAGAATTTGTCGCTCGACAGAGGATCCTGATTCCTGGCGAAGGTGTATGACATGATGAAGGTAAAATGCGGATATGATCGTTCATGATGGATCTATCAGATGGGCCCCTTGGTACTCAACAATCCGTGAAGCTGATGTAGAGCAGCGACGGCGCAAGAGGGAACGACGACGACGACGCGGCGACCGGGGTTCCGCTTTCCAACGCGTCGTACCCAGCCCAGGGAGCATCGCGGATTCCTCGCACGGGCCTCGTCATCGCCCGTGGGTGCCCCGGCGCTGCGGCCTGGCAGCTGCCATGGTCCTCGCTGATGAAGCCAGCCACGCCAGCGCGCTCAGGTCGGAAATCCTCCGCCTCTGAAAACCCCGTCCTCCCTCCTCCGCGACCGCTCTGTCCGTTTTTTTCCTCTCCCCTGCAGGCTGGGCAATTCGTTTCTCGGTGCCCTCGTTTAGGTTTATCGTTGGTGCTGCCATTCTGCCTCGACGATGACGTCAAAAAGTTGCCCTCGACCCTCGAGGGTCGAGGTGGCAAGTTCTCCGACGTTTCAGCCCCCCTGTCGTGCCTCGGGGGACATCCGGGGACCTCCAGGGGTCAGGATCCAGGGCGGCAGCGAAACTCCCCCAGACCCTACGTAGAGAATCACGACCGGAGCCCCAGACCGCATATTTCTGCGGGCATTCTTCGAGCTGGATCCATCTGTGACGGTCAGGGGCCTGAAACCGGGAAAAACTCATCAGAAACCCGAGGCGCGGATACGGACGTGGAGAGATCCCGCATGAGTATTGGCTACATGCAGGAGTGACCCTGGCTAGAGTGACCTCTGGTGCGAGAGTTTGGGGGGCCACGTGGGACCAAACACAAGCGCGCAAAACGCTACTGACGCATCGCGTTCGCCGATCGCGGGACCCTCGTGGGCCCGCACCAGAGGTCACTCCAGCGAGGGGTCACTCTTAAGCGTAAGTGTAGTTGCCAATAGGAGGCCATCTTCACGCAGCCGCGGGCGGCCCGGGCCGTCTGCCCGCTACCCCTCCTGGCGCTCCTCGGCCGCAGCATCCCTCCTCCTCCTCTGCGAGGGGGGCGAGGTGGGTGCTCTTCGGGAGCGGCACTTAGACCAACTGGAGGGGCTTCTGGGCCAGAGGAGACGACGATGGGGAGGACCAGAACGAGGAGGTGGGGGAGGGAAGCGTTCAGTTCAGAAGCGACGAGGAGAAGCAGGAAAGGGAGGAGGGAAGCGACCCAGAGGAGGACAGGGTGGGGAAATCGTGAGGATGACCCGTACCTCCGATGTCGTGATGTCTTCCTAACGCGGGCCCCCGGAGGTCCCGACCTTTCCCCTGAGGCTGGCTCTCCTCCTGGGCACTGCCTTGACGTCCCCGAGCCCCTGTGAGGGCCACGGAAGCCGAGCACCGCAAAGACCGTCCGTCGTGATGATTTCGCGACGCGAGGAGCTCTGGGGACGAAGACGAGGACGGAGGAGGTCGTGAAGGGGGTACTGCAGGAGAAGCAGCACCCGGGGGTGGGGTCACAGCTTTCCCTGCTCTCGGCAGCCCACGAAGTCAAGGGGAGAGGCACTGGAAAAAGATTCCTCCGACAGAGGAGAAAGGCCTCCCGGATGGATTCAGAGCAGATGCGGTCGGAGGAGCGCGCCGCATCGTCGATGCATGCCCAATGCATCGGCGATGTATCGGCGACGTCGGCGATGCATCAGCGACAGCGGCGTGGAGAACATCGAGCTCCACATCGAGCTGCACCGCCGATGCATTCTTCCGACCCCATCTTCTCTGACCACACCTGAGAGGCCTACGGAGGGCAGCCCGTGCCCAGGGAGAAAACGGAGGCGCGGGCGAGGACCTCTGGGGAAGCGAGACCTCGTCCCCTCGTCGCGCCCTCGCCCGTGTCGGGTGACGAGGCGGAGCAGATACAAAGAGGAGTGAGCACGGCGGCGAAGACGGTAACAACCATAACAATGACGACGACGAAGACGACGACGAAAAAGACAAAGACAAAGTCAAAGACAACGACGAAGACGACGACGACGACGGCAGCGGCGGCGACGTTGACGACGACGACGACTACAGTGACGACGAGCGACGAGGCCTTCGGTTTCCTCGGCGGCATGGCGGGATGCCCCGAGCGCGGCTCGGCGACGCCCCCCCGCGCCCCCCAGCCGGCGCACAGCTGGCGCCCGAGGGGCGAGAAGGGCAGGGGGACACGGTCTGCGCGGCAAGGCCTGGGGTCGCCGAGACGGAGAGGGCGGCGAGAGGGGGGGAGGAGGGGGAAGGGGGCGAGGGGAAGCCATCGGCCGAGGAGGGGCAGGGCAGTCGCCGCCTTCGTCGGTCGTCCCCGTCAGCCTGGGCTCGCGCGCAGCGGGCCATCGGCGCCGCAGCCGCGGCGGCAGGTGCCGCCGCGCCCGTCAGGTGCGAAGCCAGGATCGACTCATTGTGCGTCTCGCTGCTGCAGCTTGCCGACTGGGTGACCACCACTCGGCGCAGCAGCCTCAGCGCAACCAGCAGCAACACAACTAAGGCTACCAGCAGGACACCGCGAAGGAGCAAAAGATGGCAAGTGGAGGTACTCACATGGGGGAGACTGCGCCAAGATGGATAGCCCCTCGGGCCGAAGGGTCCACGGCCGCAAGTCCCCCCTTAGGTGGCCAACCGAGGCCCTGGAGGACAAGCTCGCGAAACAGAGAAATCGAGAAGAGGCCTCCGTGGAAGTCGCATCAGTCGCAGCGGGCCCAGCAGCACCATTGCCAAGCAATAGTACACACCAAAGCAGAAACCATCGTGGAGTACAGGATGGAGGTCAGCTTCGAGAGGGCGACCGTCTATGGAAGGATCCAACGACTAGAACAGCGAAATCCAGTATACAGCGAAGCAATCGGCAGCATTGGCAGAGATAGTACCAACGTCCAAAGCACGAAAGCTGGAGCGAAATGCTCACGGACAGTGGCATAATATACATCTGGTTGAAAATGAAACAACAACGGTTGGCTCGCCTAGCAGGCAGCATCAAAGGAGCTCTGACAGCGGGCGTCGACTTTATCCCACAGGAAGCAGCCGCGACGATGATCAACCTTGACGCTGCCGAACCACCGACCCCAAGGATAAAGAAGTATAGGGCACTGCTCGAAAGGCACCAGGAGAACAAGGGAACGCTCGACAAAAAGATAGATTACTTCATAGACGAGGAAGCGAAAGAATCATGACATCTCACCGCGCTGAAGGAGCTCATCAGGGAAAACAAAATGATGAACAACAGCAATGGGACGGAAAGCGACACTGACATAGAAAGCGAACAAGGTGCCAAAAAGGAAGCACGACGCCCAAACACCACACCCTGTCAGAGCTACACCGCGAGTACACTACCGACAGCAACGCCAGCATCGCCAAGTACCAACAAGTGGAGAGGTGAAGCAGGGCATCCACGAGCTGATCACGGAGCTCAATCGAAGAATAGACCAGCACCAGGCTCATCGATGACTGCACCACCGACGCATGGCGTTCCTCCACCACGGACTCGTTGCACAAAAAGAACGCACAGAAGAACGTATCGCCGAAATGTCAGGGAGGATTGCCGAGAACGCCAAGATAGGCACGAAGATCGAAAGCTACGAGCACCAGCTCGCGGCAAAGGCTATGAAGTCCACGGCGGAGATGTTGCAACGGCAGGAGGAAATATTCGAGTATGAGCGCGAGACGCACAAGCAACAAGTTGAGGCTCGAGAAGACAGAGGCCAGCCTATACGAGAAGACGAGGAACGAGAAGATCCAGGAGCAGGACATCAACGCAGCTAGGAGCATGTGCAACGAGGTTCACAACAGCATCGGTTACCAGCAGCACAACAACACTGACATACTAGAACCACGAGGAAAAGATCGGGACAAGCGACGAGACTGAGAAGGATAGAAAGCACATGGAGCTAAAGTACGAGCAACACATCCAACACGAGCACTAGAGCGCAGATCGACCAATACGAGATGTTCCAGCACGCGAGCGCGCCACGAAAAAGCACTACGAGAAGAACAGCAAAACCAAGTCCAGGAACAAGTGCTCGTCCAGTACGGCGAGATGCAGGCGGAATTCACAAGCCAGCAACGCAGTTCCAAGGGCTGCACAATGGACGCACGAGGTACAACAGCAAGCGCAGGCGCATCTTCGACACGCCCATGAGCAGCAACAAGCAGAACAACCCAATCAACTCCAGGAAACGTGCAGCGCGAACGCCAGCATCCAGAGCGGCAACATCAGCGAAGGCGGAAGCAACCTCAAGAACTACACCAACGACAGCGAGCACAGATCCTATCAAAAGGCACGCGAGAGACTGGTCAAACACGAAAAAGAGCGTCTCCAGACCCTACGACAACAGCGTAAACTCGAACGTGTCCTGCTGGAAGAGCTTGCCAAGAACGGCAAGACAGAAAGCAGCATCTTCGACGAATCGGCCAACGAGTTCAAACAGGAAGAAGCCATGAATCTGAAGCTGCACCACATGGCAGGTATTGAGGAGGGGATTGACGAGGAGATGGAGAACCCACTCCACGCCATCATCCCAGACCAGTTCACCAGCTCGGGCCAGACCAACTCAACTGGAATGAGCCCCTAAACCGAGGAGCCCTACAGAAGGCGGTACAGCGACGGGATCAACAGCGGGATCGGAAACAACGCCTGGTCGACGACGCCTGACAGCGACCTCAGTTTCCAGTAGAGCGGCTTCTCACCTCCAGCCCCGCCCGACACACCCCCACTTCTACCAACGCCACCGATTCAAGAGAGCTTCCCAACGCCTGTACTCAGCCCAGGACCCGTTGCGTTTCATCCCGACGACGCTCTCACCGACATGAACACCGCACGTACAGACCCAGGCCAGCTCACACCTTTTCCCGACGCCTCAGACGACCCCAACCTACGTCAGCAAACCGACGACAGACCCGAAGCCATCCACAACGAAGATTTACAGCACGAAACTCCACCACTGACTCCCACCGTTCCAGCCAGCCCCTCCGCAACCCCCACCGAGCAGCCAACGCCGATGATCACCACTGACAATTCGATTTTTCCCAAAGTACGAAGGAGGCCTACGACGACGATCCTGATCGACCTAAGTGGCGACGACGACGGGGAAGCTCCAACGACACCCTGACGTCAGGCCATCTCCAGCATCACCCCCAACTGTCCCGCACAACCCTGAACTCTCTACACCATGGTTCCACATGGGTGCCCCAGAGCGAGCACGATCCGCACCTCCTCCAAGGATGAAGTCGGCACTTCGTGGCACAGACTCCCGAGCTCGACCCCGCCGCAAGGTGCGCATACATGATGCAGGCGGTGGCTTCGAGGACCCATCCGACCGACACCCAATCCCAATCGCCGACGACGACAAGAGGTGGGAGGAGGCGAATACCCCAAAAAACTTAGAAGGGCTGAACCCGTTGGGAGCATGCTGGCCCATTCGGGGAGCCCATCATCAGCACCAACAGAACAACCGTATCATGAACCTCGCCGCTGGGCAACCAATTGACCACAACTGAGCCCGAGGCGACCAGCTGCACGAACCCTGGTGTGTCAGCGACTCAGCCAACGGCATCACTGACGCATCTAATGAAGGAAAAAATAACAACCAAGGCCAACTCAATGGTGAACCCTTGCGGGAGAGCACACCATGAGGCACCTTCACATGCAGAACAAGCAACGCCACCACGACCTCAAAAAAAATACTACAGCCCTAAAAATGACGCAACTGCAACAAAACCAATAGCGACAGCACCCCGACAAGCAATCCGCCGGCCAAACGGGCCAGAGGCGTGCTAAGATCTCCGGCAACTGCGTACAATAGTTTTACTTCGCGCGCGCGGATCGGCCCCTGGGGGTCCCCGGACGTAAAGTACCCCGGGCGGTCCCTGGCCGGTTCAGGTCAGAGATCCCCGGCCGGGTTCAGTCGGGTGGGCACCGCCCTTGAGGCCCTCCAGAAAGCCCCAAGAAGGGCCAAGAGGCCCCCAAGAGGCCCCCAACACAGAACAAGAAAGCTCCGAGATGCCACAAGATCGCTCCAAGATTGCCCCCAGACGCCCCAAGAGGCTTCCAAAAGCACTCCCAGCAGGCCCCAATAGGTAGATCTGCTGATATGCAACCTTTTTCCAACCATTTGCTGAATGACGAGAGCTCTGCAGAGGCCAAACTGACGGCGAGGCGCTGGCCTCGCACACAAAAGACCCCTGTCGGATCTGGGGCACGCTAATATCGCGTCTGTTCATTGAGGCTAAGAATCAAATTGTCGAGCTGATGTTCCGTGGGTAAGCGGCAGGGCGGGCGCCGAAAACCTATGGGTTAGAGGACGGAGGCATATGCAATATCAATATCGCATGCTGCTGACAATGCTATGCAATCTGTTCCAACCATTCGCTGAATAACAAGAACTCTGCAAAAGGCCAAACTGACGGCGAGGCGCTGGCCTCGCACACAAAAGACCGGAATACAAAAGGAAACAACACCCCCATGCAGCACTGAAAGTGACTTACCGCAGAATACTCCATCTTCTCGAAGTGTTTATGAGAGCATCTGAACAAAAACTCGCTGGCCAGAACGTTGGCCAGCTTAACAGGGAAGGCTGCTCTGGCACTTTTTTTCATGCATTAAAAATAACAATCAAAACTATAGATATTTCGTCCGGCCTGACAGGTTCCCATGGGGCCGATTGGCGCAGTAACAGATCCCACGGCCACGGCAACGCAACTGCTGGAGCTTTCTCGCAGGCGCGTGCGAGCTCTGAGAGGGCGACCACATGCACAGTAGTCGACCACATACTCTGGTGTTCATTTTAAACAGCAAAGCGCTTGCGCGAGGAGAGGTCCCCGAGATAGCTAGCGTTGGAATTATCTTCCCCACCTGGGGTGTCACGGCTAGCGGCGCGCTGCAATACCATCAGCGCTCTGTGGGCCAGCTTGTTCGATTCTTGAAGGACCTGTCGATCGCGCCCCTCGAGACATGGAAGCCTTCGAGGGCGCTCTGGGCTCCGCAGCGCACGCAGAAGGCGAGAGCCTGGGGGCCTCGACGAGCACGCGGCAGGCCCCCACACGGCGTGCCAGACCAGATAGCCAGCACCACGCACCCCGAGATCCAGCCTCGGAGACGAGAGTACACGTCGTCGTTGAGCAGGTCCATATGCGACCCCTGATGTACGTCGAAAGCCAACACCGCCACGCCCTTTCGGCCCATGGCTGCAGACAGGGCACCAGTGCCCGCGAAGAGCTCGAGGAAGATGCGGAAGCGGCTGCCTGGCCGAAGAGCCTGGCGAAGCGAAGCCTGAAGTCGCGCTCCACGCGGCACGCGCGTTGCTCGAGAGTTTCGCGAACTTGTGGCGCGAGCAACTGAAGCTGCAGACCGATTCGACCGTGTTTGTCGTGGCGCGCCACACTGATGCGAGCCTTCCACTTACCTCGGCGTTGAACTCCTTGCAGAGGCCGTCGCCCGGCAGCTCGATCGTGGCTGGCACCCCCATGCCTGAAGCAGTGCGGGGTGGGGCGAAGTACTCCAATCTCCAACTCCCGCACCGCGCGCCCGAGCAGCATGAGGAAGGCCCCGCACGAGACGTCGACCATTGGCTCCATGGGCTGGGAGCTGAAGGCAACCTCGAGCATGACCAGAGGCACCCCCACCCAGCGATGCTCCGCCAGGTCGAAGGCGATGTTGCTGTCCATCTCGCCTGTCTTCGAGGGCACCTGGAGCTCGGCCACGCTGAGGACGATGGCCGGGCACCCTGCGGCACCCGAGGAGCGGGCACCGGGCGAGATGATCTGGAACATCCGCAGCGCCAGCAGCTCGCCGACGCGACAGCACGTCTCGAACATGACCAAGCATCCGAGCGCATGCCTCTCTTGGCCAGTCCAACAACTTCCCTGCGATGGCGCACGCGGCTTGCTAGGGCAGCGGCGGCCGCGATGCCGGAGGGCCGAGCCGAGCCCAGCGGCGCGTCGAGGCGCAGGCCCGGGGGAAGAGCAAGCGCGCCGATCCGCCCAGCTGCGGCGAAGCCCAAAGCACAGCGTACAGCGCGCGGACGGTGGACTCCCTCGACTACTGCTCGTCGCAGCGGCGCTCGATGAAGTCGACCGGGATCGGATCCCACGCGGCCGCCGAGAACTGCGGGAGCTCCCGGCACTGCAGAAAGGCGACCAGCTGCCCCAGGAAAACCAGGTAGGAGGCCTGCGTCGCTTTTCTGATGCGGTTGGCCTGCAGCAGCGCGAGACGAGGATCCAGACGACCACGCAGACGAGCCAGCTCCACCTTGCGCCGCCGCCCCTGGCGGCCCGAGGCTGGGCGGCGCCCGCCAGATGCCGCGGACCGCTTGGCCCAAACTTGCTGGGACAATGACAGTGCAAGCGCCGTTTTACGCTGTGCAAGGTGCGTGGGATGCGCTCGCGCGGCACGATTCACAGGACAACAACAGAGGAAGAAGAGCGATGGCCCATACTCGAGGAGGACATGGGGGCGGGAACGAAGGGCAGGAAAAGGGCGCGCGGGGGGCCGAACCGACAGCGCGGCAACAACCGAGGGAAGGTGGCAAGGGGGCAGAAGACGACGACGAAATTGACAGGAGGAGACCGAAGAGTGTTGCTTTTGTCGGTAGTACGCTACAGATGCAGCGCTGCCTGCGCCATGTCGTCGCGGCGCTTGACCAAGTGCTTAATCCTGCTTATAGTTCGCGCAAACAGCGAGCGAAGCCTAACTCACCATTTTTCAGTGGGAGCTGAACGCTCGAAGGCGCGCCGCCATGTCTGCGGGCGGCCCGCGGGCCAGGAAATCCAGACCGGGGTCGCGTATCATCACGAAGACGAGGTTGTCCACGGCCGATGCCCTGGACAACATCACGTAGAGATGCAGCCAGAGGCCATATCTTTCCCACCGCCGCCGCCTCTGGACCCCTCAAAAACTATCCCTGCACCCCTGCCGGGATTCTGACGACCCCGGAACTCGAAACAACCCCCAGGTAACAGAAAGAGGCGTCACTCCGCTGGGACCCATGGATGGCGAGGTCTCCTGGTGGTCCGCGTAAGACGTCACTCCGCTGCCCCCCTCAGCAGTGCTCGACACTGGTGAAAATTTTGCAGATCGCAACCCCACAGGAGGGATGAGAAGAAGAGGGGGGCGGGAGATGGAGACGCGCGGAGAGAAGAGGAGAGGAGGAGGGGGGCGGTAGACGCGCGAGCACTGCTCTATTCAAAACGAGTACCCAACGCAGGAGGGTTGGGACATAAAGGAACGAGGTCAGAGGCAGGAGAGAGGAGACAGGAGGCGGGAGTGGTGAGGCGGGAGGGAGGGAGGGAGGGAGGGAGGTGGAGACCACAGTGCTCCATTCAAAACGAGTGCCCATCGCAGGAGGGTTGGGAAAACGACTCGGGATGAAACGCCCGTCCCGGGAAAGGGCCGAGACCTCTGGGGATCGACGCTGCGAACAAAAGACACGACGTCAGGGGTCTGGGGCCGCCGCGATCGCCGCGCTTCCTCGGCCCGCCCTGCAGAGGGCGCTGCGCGCGAGGGCGGCAGCGGCCGCACTGCGACCCTCGCTCGGCAGGGCCGCTTGGCTCGGGCATCGGGGGGGCGGGGAGGGGGGCGACGAGAACGAGGAGGACGCGAGGAGAGGAGGCGAGGAGGAAGAGAAGAGAGGACGAGGGCGAGGAGGAGGAGGAGGAGGAGGGGAAGGGCGATGAGGACGAGGAGGATGAGGGCGAGTAGGACGAGGAGTGCCGGCCTCGCGCGAGAGCGATCCGGGGCAGAAGCGGCCTCTGGCGCGCGGTCCGCCGATCGTCGCGCGCGGCGCGGCGATGGCGGCCCGCGCGCCTGGGCCTTGGCCACCCCGAGGCCCCCGAAGGCCGCGCGCCAGAGGTCACTCTGGCGGAGGGTCACACGCACGAGGGGTGGGAACCTGCGGGGGCGCCCAGGTGATGGGCACCAGGCGCGACGAGCCGCGAAACAACCGCATCACCAGTGGCGCTGGTCCCAGCGAAGAGCGTCCATCGAACAGACGACGATCGCTGCGACATGTTAACTAGGACCACGCGCCCGCGCTTGGCGCGCGCTTAGGCTCTAACTCAACAAAGGTCAACGTCTCGATGCGTCTCGACACAATGGGTGCGTATCGCCGCGTCTGTCTTGCAAATACTTCGCACCCTCCCCTATCTCTGTTCCGTCTCCTCTCCTCTCCTCTCTACTTCCTCATCCCCTTCGCTCCTTCCTTCCACCTGCTGTCCCTCCCTTCTTGCTCCTCTCTCTTATCTTCTGCGTCCTTCCTGCTCTCGGGGTCCCGTGGAACCATTGTTGGAACATCCTGAAGCCTTAAAGGCACATCGGAAGAGAAGAGGCGAAGTCATCAGAAATCCATAGTTTGCCGCCAGTTTTTATTCCCAACCATCCTGTGGTGTTGGGTCCTCGTTTTGAAGAGACGGTGCCCCGCGTCTCCTTCCTCCTTCCTCCTCTTCCGCTTCCTCCCCCTCCTATCCTCCTCCTCCTCCTCCTCCTCCTCCTCCTCCTCCTCCTCATCATCATCATCATCATCATCATCATCATCATCATCATCATCATCATCATCATCATCATCATCATCATCATCATCATCATCATCGTCATTGTCATCGTCGTCATCGTCATCGTCATTACCCACTTCGGCACACCCCTCACACGTTTCGTGGCCCCATAGGGACTCCACCGAAGGCCCCATGGCTGCCGTCCGCATGCGTCCCGCACACCCATTTCGGCGCACCCCTCACACGTTTCGTGGCCCCACAGGGAGCTCCACCGAAGGCCCCAGTGCTGCCGTCCGCATGCGCCCGCACACCCATTTCGGCACACCCCTCACACGTTTCGTGGCCCCATAGGGAGCTCCACCGAAGGCCCCATGGCTGCCGTCCGCATGCGTCCCGCACACCCATTTCGGCACACCCCTCACACGTTTCGTGGCCCCACAGGGAGCTCCACCGAAGGCCCCAGTGCTGCCGTCCGCATGCGTCCCGCACACCCATTTCGGCACACCCCTCACACGTTTCGTGGCCCCATAGGGAGCTCCACCGAAGGCCCCATGGCTGCCGTCCGCATGCGTCCCGCACACCCATTTCGGCACACCCCTCACACGTTTCGTGGCCCCACAGGGAGCTCCACCGAAGGCCCCAGTGCTGCCGTCCGCATGCGTCCCGCACACCCATTTCGGCACACCCCTCACACGTTTCGTGGCCCCACAGGGAGCTCCACCGAAGGCCCCAGTGCTGCCGTCCGCATGCGTCCCGCACACCCATTTCGGCACACCCCTCACACGTTTCGTGGCCCCATAGGGAGCTCCACCGAAGGCCCCATGGCTGCCGTCCGCATGCGTCCCGCACACCCATTTCGGCACACCCCTCACACGTTTCGTGGCCCCACAGGGAGCTCCACCGAAGGCCCCAGTGCTGCCGTCCGCATGCGTCCCGCACACCCATTTCGGCACACCCCTCACACGTTTCGTGGCCCCATCTCCACCGAAGGCCCCATTGCCGTCCGCATGCGTCCCCACACCCATTTCGGCACACCCCTCACACGTTTCGTGGCCCCACAGGGAGCTCCACCGAAGGCCCCAGTGCTGCCGTCCGCATGCGTCCCGCACACCCATTTCGGCACACCCCTCACACGTTTCGTGGCCCCATAGGGACCGCTCACACGGCACGTTTCGTGGCCCCATAGGGAGCTCCACCGAAGGCCCCATGGCTGCCGTCCGCATGCGTCCCGCACACCCATTTCGGCACACCCCTCACACGTTTCGTGGCCCCACAGGGAGCTCCACCGAAGGCCCCAGTGCTGCCGTCCGCATGCGTCCCGCACACCCATTTCGGCACACCCCTCACACGTTTCGTGGCCCCACAGGGAGCTCCACCGAAGGCCCCATGGCTGCCGTCCGCATGCGTCCCGCACACCCATTTCGGCACACCCCTCACACGTTTCGTGGCCCCACAGGGAGCTCCACCGAAGGCCCCAGTGCTGCCGTCCGCATGCGTCCCGCACACCCATTTCGGCACACCCCTCACACGTTTCGTGGCCCCATAGGGAGCTCCACCGAAGGCCCCAGTGCTGCCGTCCGCATGCGTCCCGCACACCCATTTCGGCACACCCCTCACACGTTTCGTGGCCCCATAGGGAGCTCCACCGAAGGCCCCATGGCTGCCGTCCGCATGCGTCCCGCACACCCATTTCGGCACACCCCTCACACGTTTCGTGGGCAGGACGGTCGGGGCAGCGACGGCGGCGGCGGCGCTGGGGTTGCCGCCGCCGGCAGCGGCGACGCCCGGGCCGCCGTCGGCGGCGACGACGCCGAGCGCGCCCCAAGAGCGCGCTCGCAAGCGGCCGCGGTAGGCAGGCTCTCCCTCTTCCTCCTCCCCTCTCTCCTCCTCCTCCTCCGCCCACTCCTCCTCTGCTTTAGACTAGATCGTGATCTGGTCCAGCAGGCCTCTTCCTCGTCACAATGGCCTAGATCGGGATGTGGTCCAATCCCTTAGGGCCGCGCCAGGGCTGGGGAATCCTTTAGGGCCGCGCCGCTTTGGGGGAATCTTCTTCCAAAGTTTTTCCAAACCCGCCCAAATCCTCCCAAACCCGCCCAATCCTGCCGAACCCACCCAAATTCTCCCAAATCCACCAGAATCCTGCCAAACCCACCCACATCCTCCCACATCTGCCCGGAGTCTACCTAATCCTTCCAAATCCTCCCAAACCCGCCCGCTTCTTCCAAATCCGCCCAAATCCTTTCAAATCTTCCCGAACACAACCGAATCCTCCCAAATCCACCCAGATCCTCCCAAACCCGCCCAAATCCTCCCAAACCCACCCAAACCCACCCAAACCCACCCCAATCCTTCCAAATTCACCCGAATCCCCCCCAATCCACCCGAATCCTTCCAAATCTTCCCAAACACACCTAAATCTTTTCAAATCCATTCAAAATGTTCCCAGATCCAACCAACTCCTCCCCAATCCTCCCAAGCCCACGAAATGCGCGCGCGGACGCGACCAGACACGGGAGCGGTACTTCCAATGGGCCGTCTGGGAGGGGGAAGTTATGGGCTTTTTTTGTTTTTTCTGGTTCCGATTTTTTTTCTGTTTCCGACCCGTCCTCCGCGAAATGCGCGCGTGGACGTGCGACGGGACACGGGAGCGGTACTTGCAATGGGCCGTCTGGGGGAGGGAAATTATGGGCTTTTTCTGAATTTGCCGGTTTCGATTTTTTTCATGTTTCCGCCCCGTCCTCCGCGAGATGCGCGCGCGGACGCGCGACGGGACACGGGAGCGGCACTTGCAATGGGCCATCTGGGAGGGGGAAATTATGTGTTTTTTCTGTTTTATCTGGTGTCGACTTTTTTTCTGTTTCCGACCCGTCCTCCGCGAAATGCGCGCGCGGACGCCCGGCGGGAAGTTGTTCAAAGCGAATCGTTGTCGACGTCGGCGTTTGCTGCGCCCCGGGCGTCTGTGTTTGGAAGGGCGTCACTATCGTGAATTTTCAAAAACGGGCTCGGGTTCAAAGAGAATGGTCGTCGCCATCGGCGTTTGCTGCGTCCGGGCGTCTGCGCCCTGAAGGACGTCACTATCGCGAATTTCCAATCTTGTTCAACGCGATTCGTCGTCGCCATCTGCGTCTTTGCTACGCCCAGGCGCCTGCGTCCTGAAGGGCGCTTAAATTCTTAGCGACCGTCCAGCGCAAAACCAGGCGGTGCGGAAAACAACGCGCTTTCAATTTGATGCGAACGTCTTATTGATTCGCTCGGATCCCACCGCGAGAACGCGACTGCGAGACCCCCGTCGTTTTGATACCAAAACGACGGGGGTCTCAAGCTTTTTTTGGGTGTCCTATGGCGACGTGAAAAAAATATCGCGCGTGCGACTTGCGAATTTATTCTTTTCCATAGAACGTCGTCGATAATCTCGCGCCGACGTGCTGCGCGTAAAAAACTAAGGCTCCCAAACTACACCCAAGCATGCAAGAGTCTCCTTTGGAGCGACCGGCGCGCGTCGCAGACATTCCAGCGCACTGTGTCCGGCGCTCAGTGTCGGCCGCGCGTCTTTCCAATTGTTCAGTGCCGCGGACGATCCGCGCGCGTCGCTGAGACTCCTTCGGGGCGACCAGCGCGCGTCGCGGGGACTCCTGCGCGCCCCGCTCAGAGCCCCCGATGCATCCGGTCGTCGTCGACGGGCCCAGCGCGCTCAAATGTCGCCCGCTGTACTCTATTTCAGACGTTGGACATCTGGGCTTGCCTCGCGGAATCCTGGCGACTACGATTCCATATCCGTAGACCTGATGGCCCGAGCAGCAGGCGCCGCCGCGCTCCGTGGCACGCGCCCGACGCGCCCATTGACAGACGACCTCCGCTCGTGGACGGGACCCCTCTCGCGGGGCGATCGCCCCGAGTCGGAGACACTCCAGCTCGCGCGGGTGGCCCCCTGCCCCGCGCCGGGTCAATCCCCCCCGGATGCCTCCCAAGGGCAGCGGGACGAGATGTCGGATCAATGTGGACAAGAATGAGCGAGGCGGAACAGTGACCTTTACAGTGAGATTGCGGACTGCGGGCGAGCCCTCCATCAGAGGCCCGCCGCGCGAGAATTTCGCCGCGGCCACGGCGGACAAGG